GTGGCGGATGCGTTGAGCAGACGTAGGTATGATTGAGCTGTTGAGCGAGATGTAGAGTCTCTGGTTGGCGAGATCAGTACCTTGCGTTTGTGTGCCATTTCGCAGGAGACTTTGGGTTTAGAGGCAGTGGATCAGGCGGATTTACTTAGCAGGACCAGAGTTGCTCAGCAGAGTGATCAGAGTTTGCTGGATGCGACGAGAGTGACTGGTTCTGAATATGAGGTCTCTGCGAATGGGACTATTTTGGTTCGTGGGAGAGTTTGTGTGCCTAAGGATGTGGAGTTAAGGCAGCAGATTCTGAGATAGGCTCATTCGAGCATGACCTCTGATGATAGGATTTTATGTGGATGTGATATGATATGAATGAAGGATGATAAGATATGAGGTGGAATGCAAACAGGGGTGAATAAAGATGAAATGGTGCAATCACAATCAATCAATTCCTCTTAACCATCATAGTCATGTAGTATAAGAGGTTATCAATCCAAAATGGGAAACTTGTCACTCTTTGAGAATATGAAACAACCAGAAAGTCAAGCAAGCAGTTAATAGATTTGAAGTAACACTAACAACCTAAATAAAATGAAAAGCAGTGCAATAAAAGTAAACAAAGCAGTGAAGTGTCAGCTCGACCAAGAGCTCGAGTCGAGTCAGACAAAGTACCAGCTCGATCGAGTTTAGGGACGAGTTGAGACAAACAAAGCTAAAGGTGACGACTTTAACAAGATAAAGAGAGAATTAGGGTTCAAGACAGGGTTTTGCAATCAAAGGAATCTACACTTAATCAATCTAGCTCTTAAAACTCCTTGTATCAAGGCTTCTCTTGATATTGGGCTTCTCAATGCCTAGCCAACCCTTTCCCAAGGTGGAGGCTATCAACCAAGGAATGATCTCAGAAACAGGGGGTTAGCCAGTGAGAATCAAACCTTGGAGGCTATAGGATCATTGCCCAAACTAATCCATCCAACCCCTTAGACCTCTATTGTCTAGAGCAAGAGATATTGGAGCTCTTAGTGGATCTTTTCCAGCGAATGCCATCACTTTCGTGTGGGGAGTCGCCTAAGGACTTACAAGCCAGGGGTAGTGGTCATGTAGCCTTAAGATCTATCCAAAAGAGAGAGAATCTAGATTAAGACCATAAGCTAGAAGGATTAAGCATATGAAACCTCTAATCTATCCCATCTCAAACCCCAATGGGTAACTACTCACTACACATGAATGTAAACACAAGCAAATGCAATAAAAGAGACATCATAAGAAAGAGGAGATGAAATTAAACAACTTTTATTGAAATAAGCAAGTGCAAATACAAGAGAGATTATCCAGGATCTAGATTCAAGAAGCAAGAGCTTCAAGAACACAAAGATGGGATTAGATCTCTAAAAAGTAAAAGACAATAAATTAAAAGAAACTAAAACAAAATAATCTAAAGCTTGGTGGTTTTTTCGTGGCTTAGAGCCTTTAAATACAAAGAGGATTAGGTTTAGGGTCAAAGGAAAGTCAAGGGGGAAGCAACATTTTTCGGGTTTGACTGTTGACTTCTCAGCTCGATCGAGTTGAAGCTTGGCCGGTCGAGTTGAGGAACTCGACCGGTTGGTCGAGTAGACGGTCGAGCTGGTCTTCAAGATGGCTTCTCCCTTCTTCCTTTGCGTATCCAGTTGAGCTGCGTCCATGTGCCAAGTCCCTCCATGCTCCTCATGTCCCATATGCTCCAGAATGCTCCAAAAGACCTATTTCAAAGGACCAAACATGCATATGTATGCAAATGCAACCTAAAACTAACATGAATGCATAAGAAGAGAAAAGGAACAAGATATGATGCAAATGGAAGCTAAAACTATGCAAAAGATGCATAAAAGATGTGCTAAAACTATGTAAAATGCAAGTACATCAACCTCAAGAGGTAACTGGGTTGCGAAGTGCAACACTTGTGCCTTGGTGAAGGCAGAGCATCAGGTTCCGGGTGGTCTTTTGCAGAGCAGAGTGGAAGTGGGACAGGATTACGATGGATTTCGTGGTTGGACTACCTGTTTCGAGGACTTTTGATGCTATTTGGGTGATTGTGGATCGGTTGACTAGTCTGCACATTTCTTGGCCATCAAGAAGACAGATGGAGCTGCTGTCTTGGCTAGGAAGTTTGTGCGAGAGATTGTGAGGCTGCATGGAGTGCCAGCTAGTATTGTGTCAGACCGTGATCCCAGATTCACTTCAGAGTTTTGGAGAGCTTTTCAGGCAGAGATGGGCACTAAGGTGCATCTGAGTACAGCTTATCATCCGCAGACAGATGGTCAGTCAGAGAGGACTATTCAGACTTTGGAGGATTTGCTGAGGATGTGTGTGTTGGATTGGGGTGGCCATTGGGCAGATCACCTGAGCTTAGTTGAGTTTGCATACAACAACAGCTTTCAGGCGAGTATTGGCATGGCTCCATTTGAGGCTTTGTATGGGAGGCCATGTAGGACACCCTTATGCTGGACCCAAGTGGGGGAGCGCAGCATGTATGGAGCTACTTATGTTCAGGAGACTACAGAGAAGGTCCGTGTGGTGAGGCTGAACATGAAGGAGGCTCAGGACAGGCAGAAGAGTTATGCAGATAGACGCAGACGAGAGCTTGAGTTTCAGGTGGGAGATAGAGTTTATCTCAAGATGGCTATGTTGAGGGGTCCTAACAGATCCATAGCAGAGAACAAGCTGAGTCCGCGATTTATGGGTCCGTTTCCAGTAGTGGAGCGAGTTGGGCCATTGGCTTACAGGCTGGAGTTGCCTGAGATTATGAAAGCCTTTCACAAGGTTTTTCATGTGTCGATGCTGAGGAAGTGTCTTCACCCTACAGAGGAGTTAGTGGCTAGGATTCCAGAGGATCTTCAGCCAGATTTGACAGTGCCGGCAGTGCCTGTGAGGATTTTAGAGAGGAGGGAAAAGGTTCTGAGGAACAAGAGGATTCCCTTACTGAGGATTTTGTGGGATTGCAGTGGTTCTACAGAGGAGACTTGGGAGCCAGAGGCAAAGATGAAGTTGAAGTTCAGGAAGTGGTTCGACAAGCAGGTCGAGGAGTGAGCTTATTTCATCTTTGTAGCCTCAGTTGTTATTTTTGGCTTTGGTGTTATTGTATTTTCGTTTTCGTTGTAACGATATACATTTTGAGTTTTAATGAGATGCAGTTTTTCCTCATTTTGCCTTGTGTTGTGAAATGGTATTCGGATGTTACACATGTTTGACCAGTTTTTGGTTGTGAGACGGTCTAATCTTATGGTTATAGACATTTTCCGGAATTTTTACTCTAAGGATTGCGATCCTGAATAACTCATCATGTTTTTGGAGACTTCGTTCTCTGGCAGACTCTCTGGGTGCAAGTAGGCCTCAGTTGAGTGTAGCTTATCTGGGTGCAAGTAGGCCTCAGTATAAGCAGTTTGGTTCATCTGGGTGCAAGTGGGCCTCAGTATGGACGTTTCGGGTTCGTCTGGGTGCAAGTGGGCCTCAGTGCGGACCGGTGTGGACTTGTCTGGGTGCAAGTGGGCCTCAGTACAAGTGGTTTGTGTGTTTTGGATGATGAGTTAGGAGTGAAAATTTCTTGGAACGTGCTTATGACATAGGATTTGACATATGTCTCGGGGATCAGGTGAGGATCTCCAGTGTTGCGGCCTTGCGAGGTCGGGTTTTTGTGGTCTTTGTGACGTTTGTTTTGGGATTCGAGGACGAATCCAGTTTAGTGGGGGAGAATTGTAACATCCGTAGACCAAAGAATTGGGATTTTTCTTTAGTGTCGGTCGACACCAGGGTGGTGTCGGTCGACACCAATGGTTAAAATCAATTTCTGGTTCAATTTAAGTTCGGTTTAGGCCGGTTTGGGCAGGAAGCCCTAGAACTCGAAATAAAAGCTGCAGCCGCTTCCTCTTCCTCTCTTTTGTCGTTTTGCGGACTGGAGAAGGAGCCGATTTCGAGCTGAAATCCGAGTTCTTCGTCGATCTGAGGCTCCTTGTTGCTGTTCTTCCTTGTTTCATCCCCCTTTCTCTGTCTTCAATCCGATTTCCCCTCTTTTCAACCTAAAATCGAGGTGAGTGCATGACTGTGGGTCCGTGATTGCTAGATTCAGGATATGTATATGTTTATGTGGTGATTTTGTGATGATATTGATGTTTGATTCAGTATTTATGGTTGTTTGATTGATTTCCTGTGAATTGCGAGTTTCAGGTACTGTTCATAGCCCGATCTGGGTTTTTCCAGAATCGGTGTCGGTCGACACCAAGTGCTTGTGTCGGTCGACACCAAGCTGGTGTTGGTCGACACAAACCGGTTAATTCTGGTTAAAATTGATTTAATTGGTTTAATTGAAATTTACTGGTTTAAATCAATTGGAAGTGGTTTATCCGAATTGGATTGGTTTAATGTGGTATTTAATTAATTAATTGTATTTAATTGATTAAATGGTTTAAAATAATTATATTAATTATTTTAAAATATGGAAAATTATTATTTAATTTGAAAATTATTTAATAATTGAGAAATGAAGTTTTAATTGTTAAAATTATTTAATAATTCGAAAATTGGTATTTAATAATTATTGGAGTTTAAAAATATTATTAAATATCTAGTAATTGCGTAAATGGCTCGTAGGCAGAGTGATTGCCTCACTAAGTATTTATTAAATACTTACGCAACTCCATTCCAATGTGTTGCAGGTAAAAGATTTGTGTGATCGCGGAATCAAGGCTGAAGAGGGGGATGATAGGATGTTTAATGTTTTATTGTTTTGCTTTATTTGACTTGCTAGTACTGGTGTTTAGGTTGCTAGTATTTCCTTTAATTATTTATTTGAATTTATTTGTTGAACTGATTTATTATTTATTTATTTATTTAAAGACTTCCGCTGAATTGTTTTATTTAATTATATAAAAAAAAGTGTTGGTTGTTTCAAATACAAAGACCATTCTACTGTGAGATTTCGTGTGTGAGATACGACATTAATAAAAATAGGATGTTAATCTCAATTTTCTTAATAACCCCCATAACCTTAGTCTTTCACCATTGTTCACTAATTCTAAAAAAAATCTCAAAATAGTTTTTTCAAAATTCAGTTACCCCAGCATACACAAATACAATGGATTATTATATTTTAAAGATTCTCTTACATGAGTCATATCTTTACCTTTGGTTGTGGCAATTGCTGCTATTATATCAAATAAATTTTATGAAGTAAGATCCATTCGTTTATTATTATATATATATATATATATATATGAAATAGATCAACAAAAACTAATTTGAGTTGTACATTTTATCTACAATAACAAGTGAATTACTGAAAACGGTAATGACAAATCTATATATAGTTTAAAACAAAAAATGTAACTTAAAACAGAATAATTTTATAACATATAAAAACATTGACTAGGTCATTATTTATTGTATAACGTAAGTAGAAACACATATAAATATGACATTATTAAACTCTAATAAACTTCACAACAAAAAGCTTGAACATTTAGTCAGAATAATATCATTACAATTATTTTTCTTAATTACTATTAAACCTTTTAAAGGGAAATGAAAACAAGTATTTTATGTTTAACCTTTTCAGTTCTTCTTTTGTCATGTGAGTTTTTTCTTTCTTTTAATATGATAAAATGTTGAAAGTTTTTTTATTCTCTATGGAAATATTAATTTAGCGAACCATTTTCCGTTTTTGAAAATTTTATAGGTGCATCTAATATTATGGCAAAATTTAATTTTGTTGAGAAAGCAACAAATTCTATTCTAGAAGCGAGTCCTCCAATTAATATTCAGAGAAATGGTATTCTTCCACCAGACGAACATTTTAAACCGTCAGCCTCTAACGATCCTGTTGGATTTTGTCACGAATGTGCATATCATTTGTATGAGAAAGGATAGAAAACCGAAGCTTTGTCTTTATTTTTAATGTCATTGTTCTGTAATAAGTATAAGTGGTGGTAACAAATAATATGAATATAAATAAATAAAAAACTATATTATATTTGCCATATAAATTTAACGTTTTTTTAATTACAGCTATTGACATTTGTAATGAACTGAATTTAACATATGAATGTGTTGGATATAAATATGTGAAAACTATTAGATTTGCCATAACCATTAACATAAATTCTAATGAATTTATATTATTAAAAATATATATATATGAATAAATATATATGTCCAACATGTATACACAAAAATTTATAAATGAAAAATTATCCAAAATGGTAATTTTATATTTTTCAAAATAAACGTTTCTCCTTTCGGGAAAAGTTTCATATCTGCGTTTCCGTTTACGTTTCCATGCAACAACACAACAAGAAACTGTAAAAATCCATTACATTTATGAACTTAATGTAAAATACCAAATAAATTTATTTATTTATATTAAATTCGTTAAGTACTACACTAGAGTTTTAAAGATGAAACTATGTTTCAATATAGGTTTAATAACTCCAGAGCTGGCATTATCCTCCATGGATACAAGAGTTGATCACTTTAAATATATTTTAATTTACGTTGTTTTGCATATACTTCTAGGTTTTTTATAGAACCAGATAATTTTAGTATTGAGGTTTTTTCTTTATCATTTTATTTTATAGAATTTAAATTTTAAGACGGATGAAATATGATGGAGTGCTAGACTACACACATTTGACATTGTTAAAGTAAACATGTACATCACAACTAAAATATTTCTTCACTACTTTGTTCTCAGATCCACTCATCTAAGCTACATATTTTTCAGTTGATAGAATTGAGAAAACAAATTAAGTTTTGTTAATGGATCATGCAACCTTGCATCAAGCTTGGATTAGTCACCACAATACAATATCATATTGCAAGAATATGGTAAGCTCTTGGGTTATGAATTTCGTTCGGAAAGTTATTGCTCAATTTGGTTTGTAGGTGAATGACTTGCTCATCGAATTTGGACTCAGTCGTTAAAGTCGGAGAATGTTACATATATCTAAAAATTATTTTGAGTGGCACTACTCTGATAATTCTGACTTTGATTCGAGGAGAATACACGAATATCAAAAACATATTTTTTAGAGTTATTTGTTGCACAAGTCTTACAAAAGCAGGCTTTAGAGTTATTTTTTTTTTATATGAACATTTAGAGGCTTTAGAGTTTTGTGTCAATTATAACTATATAAGCCACACTTCTAAAAACAAGCATCCCACAAGATTATAAATTAAAAAATAAAAAATAACAAGGGAGGAAAAATACAAAGACCATTCTACTGTGAGATTTCGTGTGTGAGATACGACATTAATAAAAATAGGATGTTAATCTCAATTTTCTTAATAACCTTAGTCTTTCACCATCGTTCACTAATTCTAATAAAAATCTCAAAATAGAGTTTATTCAAAATTCAGTTACCCCAACATACACAAATACAATGGATTATTATATTTTAAAGACCCTTCTTACATGAGTCATATCTGTACCTTTGGTTGTGGCAATTGCTGCTATTATATCAAATAAATTTTATGAAGTAAGATCCATTCGTTTATTCATATATATATATATATATATATATATATATGAAATAAATAGAAAAACTAATTTGAGTTGTGTAACATCCGTAAACCAAAAAGGTGCAGTTTTGGTCGAGTGTCGACCGACACCACAGGTTTGTGTCGGTCGACACCAGCTCTGGTTTGCAATTTTCGGTTCAATTTAAGTTAATTGAAATCCGGTTTGGGCCTGGTTTGGGTTGGAAACCCTGATTCTCAGAGTTAAAACATGCAGCCGCCGTCTTCTTCCTCTTTTTTGTCGTTTAGTGAAGGGAGTTTTCGAGAGGAGAGATTCCGAGGCGATTTCGTGGCTTTGTGTATGTTTGGAGGTTGTTCTTCGCCGAATCGGAGCTCTAGGTGCGTGTGGTGGCTGCTGTGTGGTGCTCCTTCGTCGTTCTTCGTCAGATCAACTTCCCCAATTCGTTTTCCCCTCTTTTCAACCTAGAATCGAGGTAAAAGATTTGTGTGATCGCGGAATCAAGGCTGAAGAGGGGATGATAGGATTTATTCTTCTTGCATTATCTTGTTGAACCTGTTTAAATTGTTTAGACTTGTTTAATTATTATTTTTGCTTCCGCTGAACTAATTTATTTGTTATTGATATTTATTTATTTAATTTATTTTAAAGACCTTCGCTAGAATTGTTTAGTATTTATTTTAAAAAAAAAGTGTTGGTTGTTTTAAGTTGTACAATTTATCTACAATAACAAGTGAATTACTGAAAGCGGTAATGACAAATCTATAAATAGTTTAAAACAAAAATGTAACTTAAAACAGAGTAATTTTATAACGTTTTTTATAACATATAAAAACATTGACTAGGTCATTAATCATTGTATAACGTAAGTAGAAACACATATAAGTATGACATTATCAAACTCTAATAAACTTCACAACAAAAAATTTGAACATTTAGTCAGAATAATATCATTACAATTATTTTTCTTAATTACTATTAAACATTTTAGAGGAAAATAAAAACAAGTATTTTATGTTTAACCTTTTCAGTTCTTCTTTTGTCATGTGAGTTTTTTCTTTCTTTTAATATGATAATATGTTGAAAGTTTTTAATTATATTCTCTATGGAAATATTAATTTAGCGAACCATTTTCCTTTTTTGAAAATTTTATAGGTGCATCTAATATTATGGCAAAATTTAATTTTGTTGAGAAAGCAACAAATTCTATTCCAGAAGCGAGCCCTCCAATTAATATTCAGACAATTGGTATTCTTCCACCAGACGAACATTTTAAACCCTCAGCCTCTAACGATCCCGTTGGATTTTGCCACGAATGTGCATATCATTGTATGAGAAAAGATAGAAAACCGAGGGCTTGTCTTTATTTTAAATGCCGTTGCTCTGTAACAAGTATAAGTGGTGGTAACAAATAATATGAATATAAATAAAAAAACTATATAATATTTTCTGTATAAATTTAATGTTTTTTTAATTACAGCTACTGGCATGTGTAATGAACTGGATTTAACATATGAATGTGTTGGATATAAATATGTGAAAACTATTAGGTTTGCCATAATAAACCATTTAACATAAATTCTAATGAATTTATATTATAAAAATATATATGAATAAATATATATGCCAAACATGTCTTTGTTTTCTATTGTATACACAAAAATTTATAAATGAAAAATTATCTAAAATGGTAATCTTATATTTTTCAAAATAAACGTTTCTCCTTTCGGAAATGTTTCATATCCGCGTTTCCGTTTACGTTTCCATGCAACAACACAACAAAAAACTGTAAAAATCCATTACATTTATGAACTTAATGTAAAATACCAAATAAATTTATTTGTTTATATTAAATTTTTTAAGTACTACACTAGAGTTTTAAAGATGAAACTATGTTTCAATATAGGCTTAAGAACTCGAGAGCTGGCATTATCCTCCATAGATACAAGAGTTGATCACTTTAAATGTATTTTAATTTACGTCGTTTTGCATATACTTCTAGATTTTTTATAGAACGAGATAATTTTAGTATTGAGGGTTTTTCTTTATCATTTTATTTTATAGAATTTAAATTTTAAGACGGATGAAATATGATAGAGTGCTAGACTACACGCATTTGACATTGTTAAAGTAAACATGTACATCACAACTAAACTATTTCTTCACTACTTTGTTCTCAGATCCACTCATCTAAGCTACATATTTTTCAATTGATAGAATTGAGAAAACAAATTAAGTTTTGTTAATGGATCATGCAACCTTGCATCAAGCTTGGATTATTCACCACAATAAAATATCATATTGCAAGAATATGGTAAGCTCTTGGGTTATGAATTTTGTTCGAAAAGTTATTGCTCAATTTGGTTTGTAGGTGAAAGACTTGCTCTTCGAATTTGGACTCAGTCGTTAAAGTCGGAGAATGTTACATATATCTAAAGGTTATTTTGAGTAGCACAACTCTGATAATTCTGACTTTGATTCAACGAGAATATACGAATATCAAAAACATATTTTTAGAGTTAATTTGTTGCACAGGTCTTATAAAAGCAGGCTTTACAGTTTTTTTTTTGTTTTTTGGTATGAACGTTAACAGGCTTTAGAGTTTTGTGTCAATTATAACTATACAAGACACACTTCTAAAAACAAGTATCCCACAAGATTATAAATTAACAAAAAAAAAAGACAAGGGAGGAAAAATACAAAGACCATTCTACTGTGAGATACGACATTAATAAAAATAGGATGTTAATCTCAATTTTCTTAATAACCCCCATAACCTTAGTCTTTCACCATTGTTCACTAATTCTAATAAAAATCTCAAAATAGTTTTTTCAAATTCAGTTACCCCACCATACACAAATACAATGGATTATTATATTTTAAAGATCCTCTTACATGAGTCATATCTTTACCTTTGGTTGTGGCAATTGCTGCTATTATATCAAATAAATTTTATGAAGTAAGATCCATTAGTTTATTCTAATATATATATATTTATGAAATAAATCAAGAAAAGCTAATTTGAGTTGTACATTTCATCTACAATAACAAGTGAATTACTGAAAACGGTAATGACAAATCTATAAATAGTTTAAAACAAAAATGTAACTTAAAACAGAGTAATTTTATAACAGTTTTTATAACATATAAAAACATTGACTAGGTCATTATTTATTGTATAACGTAAGTAGAAACACATATAAATATGACATTATCAAACTCTAATAAACTTCACAACAAAAAGCTTGAACATTTAGTCAGAATAATATCATTACAATTATTTTTCTTAATTACTATTAAACCTTTTAAAAGGAAATGAAAATAAGTATTTTATATTTAACCTTTTCAGTTCTTCTTTTGTCATGTGAGTTTTTTCTTTCTTTGAATATTATAATATGTTGAAAGTTTTTTTATTCTCTATGGAAATATTAATTTAGCGAACCATTTTCCATTTTTGAAAATTTTATAGGTGCATCTAATATTATGGCAAAATTTAATTTTGTTGAGAAAGCAACAAATTCTATTCTAGAAGCGAGTCCTCCAATTAATATTCAGAGAAATGATATTCTTCCACCAGACGAACATTTTAAACCCTCAGCCTCTAACGATCCTGTTGGATTTTGTCACGAATGTGCATATCATTGTATGAGAAAGGATAGAAAACCGAAGCTTTGTCTTTATTTTAAATGTCATTGTTCTGTAATAAGTATAAGTGGTGGTAACAAATAATAAATATAAATAAATAAAAAACTATATTATATTTGCCATATAAATTTAACGTTTTTTTAATTACAGCTATTGACATTTGTAATGAACTGAATTTAACATATGAATGTGTTGGATATAAATATGTGAAAACTATTAGGTTTGCCATAATAAACCATTAACATAAATTCTAATGAATTTATATTATTAAAATATATATATGAATAAATATATATGTCCAACATGTCTTTGTTTTTTATTGTATACACAAAAATTTATAAATGAAAAATTATCCAAAATGGTAATTTTATATTTTTCAAAATAAACGTTTCTCCTTTCGGGAAAAGTTTCATATCTGCGTTTCCGTTTACATTTCCATGCAACAACACAACAAGAAACTGTAAAAATCCATTACATTTATGAACTTAATGTAAAATACCAAATAAATTTATTTGTTTATATTAAATTCGTTAAGTACTACACTAGAGTTTTAAAGATGAAACTATGTTTCAATATAGGCTTAATAACTCCAGAGCTGGCATTATCCTCCATGGATACAAGAGTTGATCACTTTAAATGTATTTTAATTTACGTCGTTTTGCATATACTTCTAGGTTTTTTATAGAACGAGATAATTTTAGTATTTAGGTTTTTTCTTTATCATTTTATTTTATAGAATTTAAATTTTAAGACGGATGAAATATGATGGAGTGCTAGACTACATGCATTTGACATTGTTAAAGTAAACATGTACATCACAACTAAAATATTTCTTCACTACTTTGTTCTCAGATCCACTCATCTAAGCTACATATTTTTCAGTTGATAGAATTGAGAAAACAAATTAAGTTTTGTTAATGGATCATGCAACCTTGCATCAAGCTTGGATTAGTCACCACAATACAATATCATATTGCAAGAATATGGTAAGCTCTTGGGTTATGAATTTCGTTCGGAAAGTTATTGCTCAATTTGGTTTGTAGGTGAAAGACTTGCTCTTCGAATTTGGACTCAGTCGTTAAAGTCGGAGAATGTTACATATATCTAAAGGTTATTTTGAGTAGCACAACTCTGATAATTCTGACTTTGATTCAACGAGAATACACGGATATCAAAAACATATTTTTAGAGTTAATTTGTTGCACAAGTCTTACAAAAGCAGGCTTTACAGTTTTTTTTTTTTGTTTTTTGGTATGAACGTTAACAGGCTTTAAAGTTTTGTGTCAATTATAACTATACAAGACACACTTCTAAAAACAAGCATCCCACAAGATTATAAATTAACAAAAAAAAAGACAAGGGAGGAAAAATACAAAGACCATTCTACTGTGAGATACGACATTAATAAAAATAGGATGTTAATCTCAATTTTCTTAATAACCCCCATAACTTTAGTCTTTCACCATTGTTCACTAATTCTAATAAAAATCTCAAAATAGTTTTTTCAAAATTCAGTTACCCCAGCATACACAAATACAATGGATTATATTTTAAAGATCCTCTTACATGAGTCATATCTTTATCTTTGGTTGTGGCAATTGCTGCTATTATATCAAATAAATTTTATGAAGTAAGATCCATTCGTTTATTCTAATATATATATATGAAATAAATCAAGAAACACTAATTTGAGTTATACATTTTATCTACAATAACAAGTGAATTACAGAAAACGGTAATGACAAATCTATATATAGTTTAAAACAAAAAATGTAACTTAAAACAGAGTAATTTTATAGGAAGAAAATTCTCTCTTTTTTAATTTGTCAACAAAGAATTTCCTTTTTTCGCCTGCAAAATTTATTCAAAAATCAATAGTTTTTTGTTTAGTTAGAGAGGACAATCTCGTCGATGGCGATTTTCAAGATTTACGAATGATTTGCGGTGGGGATTCTGTCTTCGGGATACGGCTCCCTTTATCGGTTTTTTGGCGGTGTTATGAAGAAGATTTCGGAGTGTTATACGGAGATTTGATCCGATCTACGGAATATTATGAGGTTATTCGGAGATCTCATGAGTTTGAGAGATCTGAGATTTTGGAGGAACAGGATCCGAGCCAAAGGGCGAGATCGATTATCTCTGATTCGAGTCGAGAGGAGAATTTGGATGGTGAATCGAATCTCCACAGATCGGATTCGACAGAGAGAGGGTGGAGATTTCACGAGAGTTATTTTGGGGAAGAAGAAGTGATTGGAACAACGCAAAGGGAAGTCCGGTTTAATTATCTCCCCAAGATTTGGAAACTACATCGGCGAGATGACGCGATGCGATATCCGGCGATTCTATTACAGAGTTCATTACGGGTAATCGGAATTAATTTTTATTTCCGGGATATTTTTTCAGAGTTGTTTCGGAAGTTTGCGGATATTGTGAGGGATATTGTGAGGGATTTGATTGATGATTCAGTGGAATTTAATGGAAGGAGAATTTATGGGGGTTTGCAGTATAAAAACACACTAGAGTTTGATGAAAGTTCACAATCTTTTCTTCGCACAATCTCTTTTGGCTTGTTACTGTTTGTTCCTCTTCTCATTAGTGCTATATTCTGTGTTAACACAACTTTGTGTTTTCATTTGTTTGCGAGAGGTTTTACGATGGCGCAAGGAAACCTTATCGGTGGTGAAGAAACCAGTGCCTCGTCTCAAGATTACGGTTCCGCGTTTTGACAACACGGCTTTGATCAGAGGTTATTCTCGTACTCTGATTGGACGCTGCATGAATCCAGCGGCTCAGGATGTGCAAGCACTGCTACATCACATGCCCCGCTTCTGGAAGATGGAAGACAGAATCGCAGGCGCAGAGCTGGGATTGGGGCGGTTCCAATTCGACTTTGACAATGAGGAGGATATCATTGAGGTGTTTAAGCTAGAGCCATTCCACTTTGACTACTGGATGGTCTCATTGGTGAGGTGGGAACCGGTGGTGGACCCATCATATCCATCTGCAATCAAGTTCTGGGTGAGGATGATGGGGATTCCGCTTCATTTTTGGGCGGAACCCACGTTTCGGAGTATTGGTGAAGCTCTCGGTGAAGTGCTAGAGGTGGATATCGATGGTGGGAGGGTGAAAGTGTGTCTTGACGGGTACAAACCTCTCACGTTTGAGACAACGGTGGAGTTCCACAGCGGTGAGGAGACTCTGGTGGCCCTTAGGTACGAGCGGCTCTTTGGTTACTGCCGAGAGTGCTTCAGCCTCTGTCATGATGTCAGCCAGTGCCCGACGCTTCGGAGAGCTAGAGAAGAACGGGAGACTCAGAGGAGAAGAGATGAGAAGCCAGACGGTGGTGCTATGAGCTATAAGGGAGTGGTGATTAATGGCTCAGGTGGGGAAAATGGGAATGTGAGAAAGTCACAGCCCAATGGCGGAGATACGAAGGGAAAGGGGAAGGTGGAGGAGGTCCGGGAAGAACACATTCCGAGGAAATGGAAAGCATGGTGGGGAGAGCTCAGGCTCACAGCGGAAACCGGTGGGATACATCCCTCCGGAACAGCGCAAGCGGATCAATAGACCGACTGCGGCGTTGAAATTCATCGCGGCTCCGGCGGCAACAAATATGGTGACAGCAACGAAGGACCCAAGCCCCAGCCACCATTCGGCAAAGAAGGTTCGGAAAGCCCTGGATTTCAATGCGGTTGTGGCAGGTGATGAAGAGGCGGGAAGCAACACCAATCATGCGGCGAATGAAAGGGTGGCAGATGATATCGTGCCGGTAGATGAAACGTTGGCTCAAGAGGAGGGAGAAGATGGTGAAACTTGGTGGAATGAGGTGATTGAGGAAGAACCAGGGGAGGAGGAAGCAGGGGAGGAGCTTATGGAGGAGGAAGAGAATCCGATGGAGACACAAGGCAGTAACGATATGCAGATGGAGGTCAGCGATAATGGGGGAAACCTCCTTGCTGTTGAACAATTTGTTGAAGTGGAAGCCAAGGAAGTGGGGAAGAGCAAGGTGGGGGAGAGGAAAACTGGTGTCCAGAGGAAGAAGGCGGTTAGGGCAGCTGTAGGTGTGGCCGGCGGTCCTCTACGGCGAATGATTCATGGCGCTAAAACACCTAGAAGAAAGACGTCGGCCAAAGAGACACAGCGCCCGGGAGAGAAATTGGCGGGAAGGGACAAGGAACCGGAGAAAGATCCATCGGTGGGATCCGGGACAGATTTTAAAGCCGTTTAATGCGAGTACTCAGCTGGAACTGCCAAGGTCTTGGCAATCGCTTTACAATAAGCTATCTTCGGGAAGTCTGGTGGAAGTTCCGTCCGGAATTTTTATTTCTTTCTGAAACTAAGCAAGATTTTAATTTTCTGCAACAATTTCAATTTCACTTTGGTTTTGATCATTTGTATACGGTTGACCCATGTGGCACTAGTGGCGGTCTAGCCTTATTTTATAATAATAATTTTAATGTTTCAATTATTACTTCTTCCAAGAATTTAATTGATACACAAGTCACTATTGAAGGAAAAACTATGTTTATGTCTTTTGTTTATGGAAATCCAGTCCCAAAACAAAGAGACTATTTATGGGAAAAGTTAACTAGAATCGGTATCTCACGGGATGATCCTTGGTTTTTGATTGGTGATTTAACGAAATTACGGGAAATCACGAAAAACAGGGAGGTGCAATCAGATATGCTTCAACATTTATGTCTTTTAATCTGATGATAGACGACTGCGGTCTAGTTGATTTTCCAACTCATGGCAACAAATTATCATGGCGGGGAAAGAGATGGGGAAAAATTGTACGGTGCCGTTTAGATAGGGCTTTGGCCACAGAGGATTGGCATGACCTCTTTCCCAAGTCACATGTGGAATATCTAAAAATGGTAGGATCGGATCACCGACCGATCCTGGCAACCATAGATAATAAGATCCCTAAAGCGCGGCGGCAATTCCGATTTGATAAACGATGGATTGGACAAGATGGATTTTCGGAGGCAATTAAACGAGGTTGGTTGGAGAATCAAACAAATGCGGAATCAAATGTAGTGGATATGATCCGTAAATGCCGTCATGAAATTTCTCGATGGCGGCACGAAAATAAACCATATGGAAAGGAAAAAATAGCGGAACTACAGAAAGCTCTTGAAGAAATTCAAAATGATGATCTTCGAACCCAGGAAGATCTGGATGAAATCACACAAAAATTGAAGGAAGCTTACCGAGATGAGGAACAATACTGGAAGCAAAAAAGCCGTAATCTCTGGCTTAAGGATGGGGATTTAAATACAAAATTTTATCATGCAACCACGAAACAGAGAAGAGCGATAAACAGGATGGTCGGTTTACATGATAAGACGGATAACTGGGTTACCGGGGAAAAAGAGATGGAAAAGGTGGCGGTTGATTATTTCTCGGATTTATTTACGACTACTTCCCCAGATGATTTCACGGACATACTTGAAGGTATTCCAGCGGTGATCACGGAAACCGATAATGCACTGCTAATGCGCCCAGTCGGAAGAGGAAGTGCGGGCGGCTCTGTTTCTGATGAACCCGGAGAAAGCTCCCGGACCGGACGGGATGACGGCCTTATTTTTTCAAAAATCATGGCCGTTAATAAAAACGGATATTTTGGGGCTTATTAATGATTTCTTGATAACGGGAGCCTTTGATGACAGATTAAATTTGACGAACATCTGCTTAATCCCAAAGACAGAGCGTCCTACCCGGATGACGGAACTGCGCCCAATTAGTCTATGTAATGTGGGCTATAAAATTATCTCTAAAGTATTATGTGAGAGGTTGAAAACGGTACTATCCCAGCTAATTTCGGAGACCCAGTCAGCTTTTGTCCCAGGGAGACTGATCTCGGACAATATTCTGATAGCACAAGAAATGTTTCATGGCCTAAGGACAAACAAGTCTTGTAAGGGAAAGTATATGGCGGTAAAAACTGATATGAGCAAAGCGTATGATCGAGTTGAGTGGCAATTTGTTGAAGCCACAATGCGGAAGATGGGATTCGGAGAACGATGGATCGGGTGGATCATGAAATGCATAAAGTCGGTTGTGTATAAAGTACTCATCAACGGGCAACCACGGGGAAAAATAACTCCGAATAGGGGCCTACGTCAGGGAGATCCTTTATCTCCCTACATTTTATTCTCTGTACAGAAGTTTTGATATCAAATCTTAAACGGGCAGAATCTGTTAAATCTCTAACGGGTCTGAAGGTGGCTCGTGCAAGCCCACCAGTATCACATTTACTATTTGCGGATGATAGCTTATTTTTTTGCAAGGCATCGGTTGAGGAGAGTGCAGTTTTACTACAAATTCTTCAGAACTACGAACGGGCATCAGGCCAAAAAATAAATTTTGATAAATCATCTATCCAATTTGGCCATACGGTGGAGACAACGGTACGTGCGGAGATTCATCAGATGTTAGGTATACATAAGGTCGGGGGAGTTGGTAACTATTTAGGTGTCCCAGAGAGCTTGGGGGGTGCCAAAACAAAGATTTTTAGTTTCTTGATCGATAGACAGCAGAAGCGGATAAACGGCTGGACATCTAAGGTTCTATCTAAAGGGGGAAAAGAAGTAATGGTCAAGTCTGTACTTTCGGCGATGCCGACACATGTCATGTCATGTTTTAGATTACCAAAGGGAGTAACAAATAAACTAACAAGTGCGGTAGCAAATTTTTGGTGGAGCACAAATTCCCAAACACGGGGTATGCATTGGCTCGCGTGGCGGAAGCTGTGTCGACATAAAACTGACGGGGGACTGGGATTTAGGGTAATAGAAGATTTTAACACAGCGCTACTCGCAAAACAGTTATGGCGCCTAATGGATAACCCGGATTCCCTGTTTGCTAAAGTTTTCAAGGGGAGATATTTTCGGAACTCAACCCCCTTGGACCCAATTCGCTCTTACTCTCCATCTTATGGATGGCAGAGTATCGTTTCAGCTCGACCTCTGGTATGCAAAGGACTTATTAAAAGAGTTGGTTCAGGTTCATCTATATCTGTATGGTATGACCCCTGGATTTCCGATTCTTGCCCGAGGCCAGCTATCTGTAAAGGAATTAATTACTACCCACACCTCACGGTGAATCAGTTAATTAATTCCCAGACCTCAACGTGGAATCGACCACTATTGCAACAATTTTTTGAGAGTGAGGAAATCACTCGCATTACGGGTATACCAGTGGCTACTGGATATAAACCCGATACCTGGGGCTGGTTTTATACAACAACGGGTCGGTATACGGTTAAATCGGGATATACTGTGCTACAGGAGCTTTCCGATGAGGGGACACTACCAGTCTTTGGACCGGACACTCGGAGATTGCAAGCGCAATCCTGGAAGGTTAAATGCACCACAAAACTCCAACATTTTCTCTGGCAAATTATTACCGGATGTTTATCGGTTGGCGCACGTTTATGTAGTCGGGGAATGCGTGTGGACCCACTGTGCGTGAGATGTGGTATGGGAGATGAGACTATCAATCATATGCTCTTTGAGTGTCCCCCGGCCCGACAGGCCTGGGCACTCTCTCCCATACCTACGCCTCCCCAGTTTTTTCCTACGGGAGCACTGTACTCAAATATGGCACATCTATTCTGGAACCTCCCAGACAATGATGACATGTTGATGTATCCATGGTTACTCTGGTTTATTTGGAAAGCTCGTAATTACAAAGTTTTCTCAAATGATGATCAAAATCCGCAGGAAGTAATGGAATCTGCGATAACGGAATCCCGGGCATGGGTAGCAGCACAAACGGTAGCAGACGGAGTATCCAATAGTATCTCCATCAACTCCGGCCACGTCCCACCGGGAGAGTGGTGTCAGATTGATGGAGCGTGGAAAGTGACAGACAGTCGGGCTGGACTTGGATGGTACAATTTTGACCCGGATTCGGGCTCTGTCCTGATGGGGTCTAGCAACCTACGGCGGGGTTTATCTCCTCTTCAAACAGAATTGGAGGCATTGGTTTGGGCTATGCAAAGTATGCTAGTCCATAACAAACGACGGATGAATTTCCAAACAGATAGCGCTCAGTTGGTGAAGATGGTGTCCAAACCTGCCGAGTGGCCAGCTTTTGCGATCTTGCTTGAAGAAGTGGAGCATTGTAGAGGGATGTTCCAGGCGTTCTCCCTCACATACATTCCCAGAACGAAGAACACAAGGGCAGACAAGCTAGCACGGAGTGCTCGAGCTCAGCCCCATGATGTGTATTACATAAACTCAGTTCCCCCGATTCCGCTTCCCGGACCGGTATAGGAATTTAGGCTGTTGACAAAAAAAAAAAAAAAAAAAAAAACAGAGTAATTTTATAACATTTTTTATAACATATAAAAACATTGACTAGGTCATTATTTATTGTATAATGTAAGTAGAAACACATATAAATATGACATTATCAAACTCTAATAAACTTCATAACAAAAAGCATGAACATTTAGTCAGAATAATATCATTACAATTATTTTTCTTAATTACTATTAAACCTTTTAAAGGGAAATGAAAACAAGTATTTTATGTTTAGCCTTTTCAGTTCTTCTTTTGTCATGTGAGTTTTTTCTTTCTTTTAATATGATAATATGTTGAAAGTTTTTTTATTCTCTATGGAAATATTAATTTAGCGAACCATTTTCCGTTTTTGAAAATTTTATAGGTGCATCTAATATTATGGCAAAATTTAATTTTGTTGAGAAAGCAACAAATTCTATTCTAGAAGCGAGTCCTCCAATTAATATTCAGAGAAATGATATTCTTCCACCAGACGAACATTTTAAACCCTCAGCCTCTAACGATCCTGTTGGATTTTGTCACGAATGTGCATATCATTGTATGAGAAAGGATAGAAAACCGAAGCTTTGTCTTTATTTTAAATGTCATTGTTCTGTAATAAGTATAAGTGGTGGTAACAAATAATATGAATATAAATAAATAAAAAACTATATTATTTTTGCCATATAAATTTAACGTTTTTTTAATTAAAGCTATTGACATTTGTAATGAACTGAATTTAACATATGAATGTGTTGGATATAAATATGTGAAAACTATTAGGTTTGCCATAATAAACCATTAACATAAATTCTAATGAATTTATATTATTAAAATATATATATGAATAAATATATATGTCCAACATGTCTTTGTTTTTTATTGTATACACAAAAATTTATAAATGAAAAATTATCCAAAATGGTAATTTTATATTTTTCAAAATAAACGTTTCTCCTTTCGGGAAAAGTTTCATATCCGCGTTTCCGTTTACGTTTCCATGCAACAACACAACAAGAAACTGTAAAAATCCATTACATTTATGAACTTAATGTAAAATACCAAATAAATTTATTTGTTTATATTAAATTCGTTAAGTACTACATTAGAGTTTTAAAGATGAAACTATGTTTCAATATAGGCTTAATAACTCCAGAGCTGGCATTATCCTCCATGGATACAAGAGTTGATCACTTTAAATGTATTTTAATTTACGTCGTTTTGCATATACTTCTAGGTTTTTTATAGAACGAGATAATTTTAGTATTGAGGTTTTTTTTTATCATTTTATTTTACAGAATATAAATTTTAAGACGGATGAAATATGATGGAGTGCTAGACTACACGCATTTGACATTGTTAAAGTAAACATGTACATCACAACTAAAATATTTGTTCACTACTTTGTTCTCAGATCCACTCATCTAAGCTAAATATTTTCAGTAAGCTAAATATTTTCAGTTGATAGAATTGAGAAAACAAATTAAGTTTTGTTAATGGATCATGCAACCTTGCATCAAGCTTGGATTAGTCACCACAATACAATATCATATTGCAAGAATATGGTAAGCTCTTCGGTTATGAATTCCATTTGGAAAGTTATTGCTCAATTTGGTTTGTAGGTGAAAGACTTGCTCATCGAATTTGGACTCAGTCGTTAAAGTCGGAGAATGTTACATATATCTAAAGGTTATTTTAAGTAGCACAAGTCTGATAATTCTGACTTTGATTCAACGAGAATACACGAATATCAAAATTATATTTTTAGAGTTAATTTGTTGCACAAGTCTTACAAAAGCAGGCTTTACAGTTTTTTTTTTGTTTTTTGGTATGAACGTTAACAGGCTTTAGAGTTTTGTGTCAATTATAACTATACAAGACACACTTCTAAAAACAAGCATCCCACAAGATTATAAATTAACAAAAAAAAAACAAGGGAGGAAAAATACAAAGACCATTCTACTGTGAGATATGATATTAATAAAAATAGGATGTTAGTCTCAATTTTCATAATAACCCCCATAACCTTAGTCTTTCACCATTGTTCACTAATTCTAATAAAAATCTCAAAATAGTTTTTTCAAAATTCAGTTACCCCACCATACACAAATACAATGGATTATTATATTTTAAAGATCCTCTTACATGAGTCATATCTTTACATCTTTACCTTTGGTTGTGGCAATTGCTGCTATTATATCAAATAAATTTTATGAAGTAAGATTCATTCGTTTATTCTAATATATATATATGAAATAAATCAAGAAAAACTAATTTGAGTTATACATTTTATCTACAATAACAAGTGAATTACTGAAAACGGTAATGACAAATCTATAAATAGTTTAAAACAAAAAATGTAACTTAAAACAGAGTAATTTTATAACATTTTTTATAACATATAAAAACATTGACTAGGTCATTATTTATTGTATAACGTAAGTAGAAACACATATAAATATGACATTATCAAACTCTAATAAACTTCACAACAAAAAGCTTGAACATTTAGTCAGAATAATATCATTACAATTATTTTTTCTTAATTACTATTAAACCTTTTAAAGGGAAATGAAAACAAGTATTTTATGTTTAGCCTTTTCAGTTCTTCTTTTGTCATGTGAGTTTTTTCTTTCTTTTAATATGATAATATGTTGAAAGTTTTTTTATTCTCTATGGAAATATTAATTTAGCGAACCATTTTCCGTTTTTGAAAATTTTATAGGTGCATCTAATATTATGGCAAAATTTAATTTTGTTGAGAAAGCAACAAATTCTATTCTAGAAGCGAGTCCTCCAATTAATATTCAGAGAAATGATATTCTTCCACCAGACGAACATTTTAAACCCTCAGCCTCTAACGATCCTGTTGGATTTTGTCACGAATGTGCATATCATTGTATGAGAAAGGATAGAAAACCAAAGCTTTGTCTTTATTTTAAATGTCATTGTTCTGTAACAAGTATAAGTGGTGGTAACAAATAATATGAATATAAATAAATAAAAAACTATATTATTTTTGCCATATAAATTTAACGTTTTTTTAATTAAAGCTATTGACATTTGTAATGAACTGAATTTAACATATGAATGTGTTGGATATAAATATGTGAAAACTATTAGGTTTGCCATAATAAACCATTAACATAAATTCTAATGAATTTATATTATTAAAATATATATATGAATAAATATATATGTCCAACATGTCTTTGTTTTTTATTGTATACACAAAAATTTATAAATGAAAAATTATCCAAAATGGTAATTTTATATTTTTCAAAATAAACGTTTCTCCTTTCGGGAAAAGTTTCATATCCGCGTTTCCGTTTACGTTTCCATGCAACAACACAACAAGAAACTGTAAAAATCCATTACATTTATGAACTTAATGTAAAATACCAAATAAATTTATTTGTTTATATTAAATTCGTTAAGTACTACACTAGAGTTTTAAAGATGAAACTATGTTTCAATATAGGCTTAATAACTCCAGAGCTGGCATTATCCTCCATGGATACAAGAGTTGATCACTTTAAATGTATTTTAATTTACGTCGTTTTGCATATACTTCTAGGTTTTTTATAGAACGAGATAATTTTAGTATTGAGGTTTTTTCTTTATCATTTTATTTTACAGAATTTAAATTTTAAGACGGATGAAATATGATGGAGTGCTAGACTACAGCATTTGACATTGTTAAAGTAAACATGTACATCACAACTAAAATATTTGTTCACTACTTTGTTCTCAGATCCACTCATCTAAGCTAAATATTTTCAGTAAGCTAAATATTTTCAGTTGATAGAATTGAGAAAACAAATTAAGTTTTGTTAATGGATCATGCAACCTTGCATCAAGCTTGGATTAGTCACCACAATACAATATCATATTGCAAGAATATGGTAAGCTCTTCGGTTATGAATTCCGTTTGGAAAGTTATTGCTCAATTTGGTTTGTAGGTGAAAGACTTGCTCATCGAATTTGGACTCAGTCGTTAAAGTCGGAGAATGTTACATATATCTAAAGGTTATTTTGAGTAGCACAACTCTGATAATTCTGACTTTGATTCAACGAGAATACACGAATATCAAAATTATATTTTTAGAGTTAATTTGTTGCACAAGTCTTACAAAAGCAGGCTTTACAGTTTTTTTTTTTGTTTTTTGGTATGAACGTTAACAGGCTTTAGAGTTTTGTGTCAATTATAACTATACAAGACACACTTCTAAAAACAAGCATCCCACAAGATTATAAATTAACAAAAAAAAAACAAGGGAGGAAAAATACAAAGACCATTCTACTGTGAGATACGATATTAATAAAAATAGGATGTTAATCTCAATTTTCATAATAACCCCCATAACCTTAGTCTTTCACCATTGTTCACTAATTCTAATAAAAATCTCAAAATAGTTTTTTCAAAATTCAGTTACCCCACCATACACAAATACAATGGATTATTATATTTTAAAGATCCTCTTACATGAGTCATATCTTTACATCTTTACCTTTGGTTGTGGCAATTGCTGCTATTATATCAAATAAATTTTATGAAGTAAGATTCATTCGTTTATTCTAATATATATATATGAAATAAATCAAGAAAAACTAATTTGAGTTATACATTTTATCTACAATAACAAGTGAATTACTGAAAACGGTAATGACAAATCTATAAATAGTTTAAAACAAAAAATGTAACTTAAAACAGAGTAATTTTATAACATTTTTTATAACATATAAAAACATTGACTAGGTCATTATTTATTGTATAACGTAAGTAGAAACACATATAAATATGACATTATCAAACTCTAATAAACTTCACAACAAAAAGCTTGAACATTTAGTCAGAATAATATCATTACAATTATTTTTCTTAATTACTATTAAACCTTTTAAAGGGAAATGAAAACAAGTATTTTATGTTTAGCCTTTTCAGTTCTTCTTTTGTCATGTGAGTTTTTTCTTTCTTTTAATATGATAAT